GGTCCTAGAATGACTAAAATGCCAACAGGAGAGTTTCAGAAGCTACTATAAAAATTCTAGAGCTCTTAGATCTATAGCAATAAAATAGAAGTAAATAGATTTAAAAAGTCTCCCAATCCTTCAGAACGAATTTTGCTGACACATGGATGACTGAGGAGGAAAATTACCTCCTCTCTGATGCTGCTGATGCAAGTAGCTTCATCAGCAGAACCGCTTCAGTCAAAATCCAGTAAAACCCATATCCGTGCTTTTGTTTGAACACAAAAACAAGCTCCCACGGGCGGGAGCATGGCCTGCTGCCGGGGAGCTTGTCTTGTGCTGTGTTACTGCTGTCCTGCAGGGCAGCGAGCCATTCTGGGCCGACTGCAGTGGTGGCTGGGAAGGGGAGCATTCCCTGTGCGGCCGTCTGTTCCCTCTCGCCCAGCCCCCCAGTGCCCATCTGCGGCACAGTGGGCTGCAAAACTCACATAGCATTCGCTGCTATCCATGGTTTCAGGTATCTGCTATCTGCTGGGGGGGGGGGGGGTTAGACCCTATCCCCTGAGGATTCAGGGGTCCTGCTGCATGCAGGGGATGGCGCATTTGTTCCAATTTCACCCAGATTTCATCGATATGCCAGTTAAAGATTGAAATGGGGAAGAGGCAGAATATAATAAGCCTGAAATTTTGTTTGTGTTGGTATTACGTACATTGTTATTTATTATTAGTTATTGCTCTGTTGTTTTAATTCTTGTAAGCCGTCCTGGGATAATTTTCGTATAGGACGGGGTAGAAACATAGAAACAGAGCGAGTCAGAAGGGGTCTCCCGGGCCATCTAGTCTGACCTCCGGCACCAGCTGGCTCCACTCACGACATGCCCACCATGTGGACGTCCAGCCTATCCTTGAACACCCACACTGATGGGGCCTCAACGACCTCTGGTGGAAGCCCATTCCACACCCTTGGGGTCCCGACTGTCAGGAAGTGCTTCCTGGCATCCAAATGGAACCTTGGCTCCCCGAGCTTTGCTCCACTGGAGCGTGTTCTGCCTTCCTCTGCAGGGGAGAACAGGTCTCTACCCATCTCCATGTGACATCCCCTCGCATACCTGTATGTCGCCAACATATCCCCTCTGAGTCCCCTCTTCTCCAGGCTGAAGAGACACAGTCCCCTCAGTCTTGCCTCTTACCCCATAAAAATATTTTAAATAAATAAGGAAAACAATTTAAATGGCACAGTTTTAAATTGTTGAGTGCTCTCATACCAAGATTCCTGCTAAATTCCTGTTATATAATTGAATAGCTCTAGAATAGTACAGAGCAGAAGTCTGCCAACTGGATGCCCCAGCATATGGAAGAGGGAAGGAGGCTAGTTTTGAATAATTCTGCTTTTCCCCTGCAGCCCTCTGTGTCCCTGAAAATCTGCTGCAGAGTGTTGGGGGTGCATTCCAGAGCAGTTGGGGCATTGGAGGCTGCAGGAGGGAGCCTTCCCTGGATCTTACCCATGAACAAAAGGGCTCCTTCCATATGTGAAACATCAAGACACAATCCAGCCCAGTAAGTCCTTCAGATGAAAGGAAAGTATGATTCAGCCCATTTATAAAGCTGGGGAGGATGCATTTTCTGCAAGTTAAAAGTTACCAGTGAATTACAGCCACTGGGATTTATAAGTCATATGCCTGTTTGAAATCCACATGCACATACACTCTCGTTTAGGACATTCTACTGAGCATCAGTGGCCCAGGATACATGCAAATCCCACAGAATTTGGAATTCCCAAGAGTTGTGTTCTTATCTATGTTAGCTGGAAGAAGAGTTATTCTCAGAGGGATCTTGCCCATATTGCTGCTTATTCCATGTCCCTGAGCTCAGTAAGACAAGACTGAGAGCCACAAATGTGCTGTATCTATTCCAACAGGAGCATCTTCCCTTGGGTGATAGGCATCTCAGATTATTCAGAATGCTACACCCTGCAGATTGCTTGTTTTGGTTTTGCTTTTTCATAGTAAATGTCTCTTCCACTTTGGGCAGACTTCCTTAGCTGGCTCTCTCCAGATGTTTTGGGCCCAGACACCCAGCATTCCTGGCAACTGGCCATGCTGGCTTGGACTGATGGAGTCCATTGCGTCTGGAGGGGACTTATAAATACAGTTCTTTCAGTCCTGGTTCGTCATGCCGCCGCCGCCGAGGCCTGTGACAGACGAGTGTTGGTCTCAGCCTTTCTGCTGAAATGTGCAGCAGCTTCCACTCTGAAGGGCCCTGGAGGCTGTCTTGTCCCACTTTTACCAGAAGATCCCCAAAGGATGAAATCATCCCGACATCAATTACATGCTATACATAGTACCTGGAGCCATTCCAAAAAATCATTGTTAGCTTCAAGGCCCAGCAGTGCTATAATCTTCTGGGAACATAGCTCTTTTGTGTTTTCAAAACACTTTATAAATATTACCTTACTAATCTCATTGACTATGCGTATTAGGAACAAAAACATTTATCTGTGGAAAACAGGCCTTTGGAAAGCTGATCTCTCTATGCGTGTATGTGCGCATGCGCACATGCATCTACGCACACATGCATGCACACTTAGTCTCCACATAAATCAGCCTTTCCCAATCTGGTGCCCTCCAGATGTGTTGGATTACAACTCCCATCTTCCTCAGCCTCATCCCAGTAACTTAGAGGAATACTTCCTCATCATCCATCAATTTTAAAGCTGCCCAAGTTGATGGTCATCTCTACATCTTGTGGTAGTAAATTCCATAAATTAACTTGCTGTGAAGAAGTACATCATACCTTTCCTAAATCTCCCACCTTGGATAACCCTGGTTTCTAGCTGCTTTTACATGTCATCATCTCTGATTTATGTTCACCCTATGAATGAGTGTCCTCCAAGGATCTCCTATCCTTGATTGCCCTACTCAGCTCCTGTGAGCTTCTAATTATATTTTCAAGTTTTGAAATAGTGGGTAGATGGCAGTTTCTAATGCTTTCATGTTCTCAAGCGAAAAGTATACTGCTTCCTGTATAAGATGTGACCAGCTGCTGAGGCCAAGAAAAAGAAGGAAGCATCAGGCATAAGATCTAAAAAGGTAGCTTCCACTTACTTGTCCTTTCTACTCTGAAAAATCTGGATATCGGTCCTCTTATCTTCATGACCTGTTGTCACAAAGCTGCCACACAATGCTTTTTTGTTTTGTGGCACACAAATGCACATCTGGCTCAGTATTACTCTGTCACAGACAGTTTTCAAGTCTGCAACATTTTCTGAGGACAAGTCAAACACAATCTCTGCCTGCCCACCCATGCCAACACTCACAGTGCTGCTCTTTAGGGGTGCCTGTCCCCTTTCTGCTAATCGCAGTGCAATGCTGGTCACACCTATCTGAGAATAAGCCCAGTGGGATTTACTTATGAGCAGAGCAAGACTGTCAAAGTTCCCATGCCAGCTGCCAAAGACTTTCCCTGGGCTATGAGCATGTCAACAGGATGTGGAAAGAGGTCCCTTCTTGTGTGGGTAGCACATGGCCCCCTCCGCTTTTCAGAACCATGGACAAGGCATCTGTGTACTTGTGGGGCTTTTGAAGGTGCACAGGAGGGTGGCTTTCAGGACCCTGGAGTTGTTGACCCTATATGTCTTACAGGAAAACAACATGGCGAGAAAGGATGGGAACAAACGGTTTTGCATCAAGTGGAACAGTGCCATGTTTACATTGTCATTTCCTGTGCTAGCCCAATTACTGTTGCAAAAAAAAAGTTGTAATCCTGCATGTATTTTTTACCTACTTTTATCAGACTATATTATAGGTTCTCCAAGATGGCACTTTGACTTCAAGATAGGGATACCTCAATTAGCACTTAGCTATGCCAGTGTTGGCAGAAATGGTTCTGGGTTGGGTTATTGGGGAATGAGAAGCTCAGCTATCCAAGCAAGAGCTTCTAGGAACATGAATCAAGAGAGGCCTTTGTTTTGTAAAGACAGTAAATGCCTTTCATTTGCCAAGACTGAAAATTGGAATAGCTGTGAATATATCAGCAATTAAAGGTAATCAGACCCATCACCTAACTAAATATTAGGAGCTGCAACCCTCTCAAGCATCTTTAGTAGCTGTGAGAACATTCAAGGTAAATTTTCAGCTTCAATAACTACATTTCAGATCCCTAGACAGTATCAGTGGGTTTAAAGATTCAATTAGTGATACTTTGTTAGAGGTGTGCTGCTTTCAAACAAGTGAGTGCATACTGGAAAGCTGCATATTATTGCAATATTTTGCTTCCTGAGAACCTTAAGCTTCTACTTTTAAAAGCAAAGGTGCTAGCCCTCATGATTGCAGAGCAAAGTTTTAAAATGCATAGACAATATTATCTGAAAGCTCATGATAGGGTGACTTTGCAGGGGTAGGAAAGCTGGATGCCTCCCACATGTTTTCAGTGAAAACTTTTATAATTCCTAACCATTGGCCATGCTGGTGAGGCTTATGGGAATGCACTTGGGAGTCCAAAATGTATCCATTTAGTTGGTTGGATTTGACATTTGATGCGCACACGGCAGAACTGACCTGCGTTCTCCAGATAAGCAGGTGTTCTATTGCTTTGACCTTCCCTGACCATTCCTAGACCGGAGGTCATCAAGATACCTTGTAAAGGGAAGAAACTCTGTATTTTGACTCTTGCCTCTCTTAGGACTGGACTTCTTCACACCTGGACAACTTGCAGTAAAAAGCTCTTTTCAGATTATCTGTAAACCAGCCTTCCAATTGTGAATGTTTGCAACTTTCACCATCCCCATGACTGGTGGCCATGCTGGTTGGAGATGATGGAGATTGTGCTTCTAGGTTGGTGTGGTGCCTGTGACTAGACCTGCCGGTGGGCTAAACAAACAAGGTCCAGCAATCTTTGCCCTTTCCACAATAATACTAACCGTGGATATTTAGAATATATTAGGAAGATTATCATTCATTTGATAGTACTTTATGTTGTTAGTGAATAAGTGTCTTAAACATCTCCTTCATCCTTTCTTTCAGATTTTTTATCATCAAGGAGAGCTTTTTGCTGTACTATGCTGAGAATGAAAAGAAGAACTTTGAAAACAACCGGTACTTTAATATCCACCCGAAGGTAAGCAACAGGTGGTCTCTCGTGGAAGCCAGAAACTATCATCTCTGTTCCGTATCAGATATTTTGTTAGGTATTAAACCCAGGTACTAAAAACCATACCATGTAGTTTTTATGCTTGTCACTTTGAAAATATATATTGAGTCCATTTCAAAATGGCAGGCTTTAACTTTCAGCTTTACCTGGGATCCAGGCTTTTTGAAAGACTAACTATAGCCTTATCAATTTGAAGTGAGATGAATAGAAACTTTCTGGTGCACATTTACCCACTATCAGCAGCTGTACGATGAACCAGAAAGCGCCAAGATATGGATGCTTCTTGATCTCAAATTGTTACCGTTTGGGATCCATGTTGCTATTTAGCAGTGATTCTTACCAATTAGTCCACATCTTTGGTGTCTCCTCAGGGTGTTATACCTCTTGGAGGGTGCATTGTAGAAGCCAAAGAAGAACCCAACATGCCTTATGCTATGAAAATCTCCCACGAGGACTTCCATGTAATGTGAACTAATTTTTCTTTTCATCTTAATGAGTTTCCAATGTGGCCGAATGACTTGGAGAGGGAAGGAAATGCATTTTCCAAGAGAAATGTACAACTTAGCTACATCTGCAACAGTGCCCCTCATCCCGTTCGTATTCCCTCTGCCAGCACTTTTCGGCTGACTCATGAGCCACTTGGACCTAAATTGCAGATTGTGTTAAATATATAACATGAAGCTAATCCTTACCATGTTGCTCACTTTAGTGTAAGTTCTGTGACAAAGGGGAGAGTAGGGAAAGGGTTATCTGAGCGGGGTCACCACATACTTGAAGAAGTTAGGCTCCCTCCCCATTTTCCACTTTTTAGTGGTGGTGGCATTGCTGGGTGAATTTTGAAGGGGAAAAAGGAGATGTGAAGGTTTAATCCCCATTCTGTCGTATGGGGCAGTCCTGATACGGATTGGCTCCCTGTGTACTTACACTGAGTTCCACAAAATGCCAAGGGTCAGTGGCATGGGATGTGTTAACATACCGTGTAGTTTAGCTTCAGCTATGTTTTCTAGAGTCAGTAGCTGTAGTGCCAGAACATCTGGAGACTCTCAGGACATTTCCAGGACATGGAGGCAAATTGGCGAACCATTATTACTTCTCCCTAGGGACTTCTGAAAATTGTACTTCTGTATCAGGGAACCTCCACACCTTTGGGGAAACCATGCAAGTCAAACAAGAATAAAAATGATGCATGGCTGTAGTACAAATGTACCCCTGGAGACACTGTCGTGGTTGATGGTGGGTTTTCTCTTTGATGGAGCATATTTCTGTACCAGCTTCCTTTAATGGACACTTCAATGCTTCTTTTTTAAGGGCAACATTGCCCTAGCTGCAGAGTCTGCCTATGAGCAAGCCCAGTGGTTGGAGATGCTGCAGGAGTCTGGAAAAGTGTAAGTATGCCAGCAACCATTCCTGCTCTGGAGTACTGAAGAACTGCCATCACATCAGCTTGGATTTCACAGGCACACAGGGTGATGAGAGCGGTCTGTTGGTCTTTTAAGGCAGGGGCTGTAGCTCAGAGGCAGAGCTTACGCTCTGCAGGCAAACGTTCCGGGTCCAGTCCTGAGCAGTGCCAGGCAGGGCTGGGGATGAACCCCATCTGAAGGCCTGAAAACCTGCTGGCAGCCCATGTAGACCTTGTGTGAGCAGTGATCTGATTATGACCCTCTTCCACGTATTTGTACTCCCAGTTTTCCACATATTTTTGATATTCATAAGGCCACTGGAATAAAAGAGGCTCTATTGAGGATGAGCGAAAGCTTTGAAAGCAACACCTGTGGAAGCTCAGATGCTTCGGAGAATGGGATACAGCCAAGAACATGGCACTATGAAGGCACAGTTTTTAAAACTACCAACAAACTCTGTTTGCGAGAACAGAGCAACTGCAAAACTTTTAGAAGTCATTCACTAGATTTATATCCCACTTCTTTTTCCTGCAGCAACCCAGGGTGTCTTATGTAACACTCCTCCTCTTCCTTTTATCCTCACAGCATCCCTGTGAGGTTGGTTAGACTGAGGGTCAAGTGACTGCTTCCAAGGCACCCAGTGAGCCTCCTGGCAGAGCGGAACCCGAGCATGGATTTCTCTCAGCCCTCGTTATCAGTCCCCCTGGGTGTAGTTGGGGCAGAAATCCAACCTTTTATTGGTGAAAGAGGTCTTTTGAATTAACTGCTAAAGGCTATCATGCAAGCAAATCTGGATTCTGGGCTGTCTGCATATCTTACATATAAAATGTCACAGTCTCTTTTTCCTTTATCATTTTGCACCACATTTTTGGTTGTAAGTCTGCAGACAACCACTGTCTTATTTCTAATTGATCTTATGTAAGCCCCCCAGGTGCTTTTTTGACTAAAGAACAGATAAAAAATTCTTATAAATATTCAGTACAGTTTCCCATAATATATGGTAGACCAAAAATAGCTTGTGAATACTGTTTGATAATGTAGGGTATAATTGGCCAGGGGTGTCATCTTGAATTTGCTTTGCTCCTCCCTCTTCCCCATCCCTTTTCCTTTTCTGCAGTGTCTTTCAGATTGAAAGTTAGACTATTTCACTAGTTGCCTTTATAAGCAACTTTAGCCCTTTTGGGCAGAAAAGCCAGCTGTTAGTGTTGGACTGTGACCAGGGAGACCCAGATTCCAGGCCCAGTTCACCCATGAAGCTTGCTGAGTGACTTTGAGCCTCAGCCTAACCTACCTCACAGGGATGTTGTGAAGATAAAATGGAGAGGAGCAGGGTTATGTAAGGCACCCTGGGTTGCCTGTGGGGAAAAGGTACAATATAAATGTCAAAATAAATAAGCAGCAGGGTAAAATTTCTTTAACTATAGTAAGCAAGGCGGAAATTCACCAAGGGTTTATGCACACAATGTATGTCCCCCATCCTCTCTGTTAAGCCAAATATCAGACATTGCAAATCAGACATTGCAAATGGCAGTACCCAGAGTAAATAGGTTTTCAATGAATTGAAATGTGTTGATTGTGTGGACTAGATGAACCAAGAATAAGGCATGAAAATTGGAGCACCGTGGGGTTCGTGATGCAGAGGGAAGCAAATGGAAATGGTGGAAACTAGGTATTGAGTTGCAGTTTGGATTTCTGAGCCTTCCATCAGGCAGAACATATATTTCCTAGCTTTCTTTGGGCCTAGAAACCTTGCACACAATCCAGCTGGAAGTAAGTCCCGAAAAGCATATACTTAGTTTTCCCAGTTGTGTTTGTTCGTTTGTTTGTTTAAAATATTTGAAGAACAGTCATCAGGCTGGAGTCCTCACAAGGCAGCTTACAACAATGATATATTTCTTTAATAAAACAGATAGTGTAATAAAATTGCAAACATTCATCAAAAGAGCAGATACCAACACAAGAAAAAACCTACAGTACAACTGCAGCTACAACCCAGAAGAGTTGGATAAAAATATAATCTGAGGGGAAGGTCAGAGAAAAGTCTTCAGGGCCTTCCCAAAAGCCATAAAATTAATGGGATTTAAAAGTGCTTAACTTGTTGCCTTGATTTTTTAAATTAATTCTTTAGCAGCCAATGCATCACCAAATACCACATTTGGTAAATGCATATTGGGCATTTTTTCCTCAGTGTATAGAACCAATACATCTATGATCAGAAAACTGTCTTTTGTACACAAGTTACAGACAGTATCTGTAAGGGTAATTTTGTTAGTTACAACTGTGGTTTTGTTACACTGAGATAAGCGTCGCTCTCAGCTAATCTAGATCCAGGGAGTTGAACACAAGACCAAAGATACAGCCCAGAAAAACAAATCTCACAATGTTCTTCATCTCTGAAATCATGGCATTCCATGAAGAAGCCTTAATATCCCAGAAATTCTGGGATGCTTTTGCACATGTCTGTCTGGGACATGCTGGGAGTTACAAGGCCTTTTTTCCTGCCCGAATATGAATAGGTTCGTACCCTAAAGCTATAACCCTCAACAGACTTACTTAGACTCCCACTTCCATTGAAGCACATAAGCTTAGGGGCTGCATTGCTACAATCCATTGCAGCTGTAGGTATATTTTAAATTCACTGGTTTCAGCATCCTTGCCTGAGCTAGGTTAAGGGTACACAATTTCTGCCTTGACCTTTTCTGCATGCTGCCTTGGTCAAAGCCTGAAATGAGCAGCTGCGCCCCAGCATTTTGGTGCTCCAAGGATGCAGGCCAGGCCAGGGCTGGTGTAGGAAGGGGGCCTTCCCCAAACAGAAGGGGAACTTTCTGAGCCCTGAATTAAATCAGCTTAAGTTCTTTTAGCCTGGCAGCTTGCTTCATGCCCAGCTGCACTGTGTTCCAATAAGACTTACTGAGGATGATTAAAAATAACTCTCTCTGTAGGTCAGCCTTTCTTCAGCCTGCCTTCCTCCAGATGTGTTGGGATGCAACGGGCTGGGAACAACGTATGCTGCAGTCCAGCACATCTGGAGGGCAGGAGTTTGGGGAAGGCTGAGCTAGGTCATTTGCCATGTGGCTTTTGATTGATTGGCAGCACTATTCAAAGAGTTTTTCTGCATTAGGCATTCATGTGTATTCATAATTCCTTACATTTATTTATGGGTTCTTTAGAAAATATCATGATCTGTCTGTTTTGCTTCTGTTCTTAAAGAAGCAATTGTTTAAAACAGCAATTTCCCAGACTTTTAAAAAAGCAGGGAAATGGGGTTCTTCTGAAAGTGAAAAAAGGTATATACCTACTTGTGTGATTCTGCTAGTTAGCTATAGCATTGCACCACCTGGAGGTTATTTATGCATTTATTTATTTATTTGGATATTTCTAACCCATCCATTACAAAACGTCTCTGGATGGCTTACAGAGTAATATTATTATTTTTATTATTATTATAACATTTCTATGCCGCCCCTTGAATAAATATCCAATAAATACAATGGCAAGAAAAAACACGACTGAGGATAAATAAAATCTGAATTAAAATTAAAATTCAGGTTATATAGCAGAAAAGCTGGAAAATAAAAACTCTTCATGTAGAGCTCAGGTCTAACAAACCCAGATGTAGATAATGCAGATTAACAGGCTCTTTAGACAAGCTAAAAGTCTTGGGAGGCATGTCAGACCCAGGCCAGCCTCTGTGCCAATGGCTTTGCTACTTCAGACCACCTGAACCGCCTGCTCCAGTTCTTGGCTTCTGGCTTTCCTCATCTGCCTCTTACACAGCGGCAGGAACTGCCCCAGACAGCAACCGCTGTTTTCCATTTCTACTCGTTATGGAACTTGCCTCATTGCCAAATATACTCCGCGAACAGGATGGCATTGAGCGCCTGGCTTCCGGCCTTCAGACTACTGTCAAGTGGATGTCTGTGCCAGACCACCCTCCAGAATTCTTGGCCTTCAGCCCAGCACTAGATCACAAGTATCTACCTCACTCTTTGCTCTTTGCTTGGAATGTGCTCCCTTCTAGCAAAATCATCAAAGAGCACCTTTCCTGCCCAGGGGAGTTTAAAATAACTCTGAAGAATGGCTCCAGCAGTCACGAAGTTGCCTCATTGGAGGAGGGAGTGCATGGCTGTGAAGGTCAAGGAACATTCTGAAAAATGTGGCTTCAGCAGGACAGAAGCCAGCAAACCGGCCATCCATGGAGCTGCTCAGCCAGCAGATCCTTCTCCCCCTCTCTGCTGCAATTTCAGCCAGGTCTTGCAGCAAGGGTAGGCATGGACAGGCACCTGGCAGGGTCCCAGGGTTGCTCCTTCTCTTCTTTGCAGCCTGCTTGTTTACCTGCATCTTGCTTTGGCCCAGGTAGTGGTGAGGAGGAGGAGTAAGAGCTGCAGCTGCCTCCTTGCTCACTGGCCCTCAAGCAAGCAAATCAACAAATAAGCAAGAGCCGCTAGGAGGAAGAGGGCAAGGAGCAACAGCAGGTGAGGACAATGGTGGTGACCAGGTAGACTCACCAAGGCCACGGAGGGTGTCTTGCCCAGAGGCCTTCAGAAATGTCTAGCTGGCACTGATCTCAATGCAGGAGCCCCAGGAAAAGGGGGAAACAGGGCACTGCCACAAGGCCCTCAGCTATGAGGAATATGCCATTCAACTCAGGTCATGCCTCCCTGGCTTCCCCTTGCGACTTGGCATCCCCCACCAGCCCCTCTCAACGTGGGCTGTTGGTCCCAGCCAATACCCACTGCAGGGCTCACAAATCCACTTTGTGATGGGACAGGCACCTGGGTGCTGGTGGGAGTGCGCCTTCTGTGCTCAATATTAAATAAATATATTATTAATTGTTTTGATGGATCTATATGATTCAATTTATTTGGACTGTAACTTTTTCCTTTTTAATTTTTTGTTATTATTGATGTATTATGGTATGGTATTATTAAGTTAGTTAATAATATACCTTTTAAAAAAAGAAAGAGAGAGAGAGAACTAGAGATGTAAAAGCCAAAAGGGAGAACGTGGCCCAGGAAATGAAGGAGATGATTAAAGGAAAGCTTGAAGTTAGTGATCGCGCAATCCTATACAAATTTAGACAGATAAAGGCCTACAGTGCTTGATAGACCCACTCAGCTGCCTGGGCCATGCTCAGAGCTGCAGACTCTTTTTCTCTCTACCCTTGCATTGGATTATGCCCTTAGCCACCTTGCTTTTACTGCCCCTTTGTTCTTTGAAGAGAAACAAATTCCCTGTTCCATCATAATGCTGGTAATTTAGTTTTATTATATCCTACCTTATCTGCTCCAGTTAACAAAGAGGGAACTGGCAGGGTTGCCAACTTATTCTTTGTCCAAACAATTATTCTGGGGGTGGGGGGAGAAAGGTTTTAAAATATTTTTTTCTCTTCATTTGTTCCTTTTTTAAGGACCTGGAGAAATGCTCAACTAGGAGAAGCCATGATCGAGAGCCTTGAAGCCCAGGGACTCCAGCTGGCCAAGGAGAAACAAGTATATTTAGGTTGGAACAAACAACCCTGGATTCCCAGTGAAGCATGTTTCAGCAGCGTTAATATTCATTTTGTGATCCCTTAGCACTTACGATGCTGGTTCTTTCTTGCCTTTGCTGCCTGCAGTTCGTTTCTATGGTGTGGGTATTGATACGTAAAGTGCCATGTGAGCAACCCCAAATCTGATGCTCTTCTGACGTGTTGGATGGGGACTCCCAGCAGGCCCAGCCATCAAATCTGGGGGGCACCAAGCTCAGGAAGGCTATTGAGAGTTACTCACCTCTTTCAAAATATACCTCTTTCCATATGTACCTACCCATGTCCTTTGGAAGCCCTTTGCTGTGTGCTCCCTTTGGTCAGAATTTCAGACAGTGGCCCTGGGAAGGAGGCTTTCTCAGTGGTGGCCCCTCTGGCTGTGGAGCTCTTTTCCTAAGGAAGCCCATTCAGTGCCTGTCTTTCCTGTTCCCCCAGGCTTCTAAAGATCTGCTTTTTAATCCCCGTGGTTTGGCTTTAACTCCTATTCCAATTGGCCATTTTTAGATTTTTATCTATGCTATATTTTATGGCAATGTGCTAGAATCTTTGTTTTGGACTTTTTAACTATATTAGGATTTCATTGATCATAGCTTTTACTTTAGTTCATTGTGTTTTATTCTGTACACCACCTAGACATTCTCTTAATGAGGCATTCAAGAACTTAAATAAGCACTGTAGAAAATTACCTTTCTACAGTAATAGGCTTAAAAAGATGGGTGTCGTGATTTTGCCCCTGAATGTCATGCAACACGTTACTTAGCAACCTTCCTTTCCTAGCTGTGCCTGGGCTGAGGAGGCAGTTGGTTTTCTCCATGCACCTGCACGACCTTAACAAGCAATGGCCTCAATTTTAAGCAGCCTGCCCCATTAGTAAGTCAAGACAGAAGACCAAAATAGAGCAGAGTTAATGAGTACTTCAGCAATTTAGGCTGTTCCCAGATTCAGAGATACGTTTTTGCATTTGTACTGAAGCCTCAATGTTAATGGAAATGGAAGGTGGTGGAGAATGTTTGCAGGAGAAACGGGCTGGACCAGAATTTAGCCTATCTTGCACCTGCCAGTGCTCCCCTGCAGATCGCTGTCTCTCTCCACATATGTTTTCACTTGCCCTTGCTCTTCCATCCTGGTTGTTGTTGGAAGTGGTTCCTGGGAACACTCCTCCTTGTTTCACTGTGACTAAATCCTCCCTCATATTCATTAACAGAATCATCACATCTTAAGGCAGGCTGGGCAACTTGTAGCTCCCTGGATCTTTTGGACTGCAACCTCCATTGTCCCCAGTCTGGGTGGGGGTGATGGGAGTTGTAGTCTTGCACATCTGGATTGTGTGGGCCCTAGTTTGGAGAACACTGTCTTGGAGTTAGGGTGGGCTTACTCGGCCATTATACCATTGAACTGGACCAGTGTGTACCTTCTCACCTGGCAGTCCATGAAGACGGTGATGCAGTTTAGCAGGTTTAGTGAACACCAGAAAGGCTCTGAAGGCAAAGCGAGCTGTCGTGGTTGTTTACAATGGATTTCATAAGAACGCCTTGCAGCCATCTCCAAATGGCAAACTCTCAAAGGAGATGCAGTACAAGAAGCAAGCTTGCCTTTGTCAAGTTGCGCCCAATGAACTTCAGTAGTTGCGCCCAATGAACTTCAGTGATGATCCCTTCCATAGTCACAGCTTTCACTTTTCTCTGCTTATATTTGCAGATAAACTGATGGAAGAAACAGAGGAGCTGTGTCTGCAGAGGGAGCAGAGAGAGGTTTGTTCTCCTATTTTAAGCATATATTTACTGAATGAAGATATCATAATGGCAAGACATGCAATGGGTTCATTAGAAGTGGCTTGTACTCACCATGTTTACCTTTAGAAGCTCAGAGGGAAGAGACTGGGGGCTTACAGCAGCTTTCCCCAACTGTGGGGGGGGGGGGAGCTAGTGTGGCCAATGACCTGAGGGCTCACCATGTTGAGAGTTACAGGCCAACTCTTCTGGACGGCAGAACGTTGGGGGACACTGGCTTACAATAAATCTATGGGGAATCTATACCATAGTGCAGGATGATGGAACAGTTTCACTGAGGCAGAGCTATGCAATGCGTACTGCCTGCCCACTTGGAAGAGGCAATGCTTGGTCTGGCCATTGTAGCTTTTTAAGACAAAGACAGAAAAGTGGGTTCTTCCTGGAAGCATGCCTGCTGCATTCATTCTAAATCTTTCCCTCTGCTAGGAAGGTCTCCCAGGAAATTTTCCCCATACCAGTTTGGTGTTGTGCACATCCTTCCAGTTTTAAAAACATAGGGCCAGCCAACATGTTATTGGATCCTGTGCTCATTTTTAAAAATACGCCTTTTCTGTCTTCTTTGTCTATAGTTGTGTATGTTTCACTGAAAAGTACTAAGAGTAAGAAATGCACAAACTTTGTCCAAAAAAATCTCCTAGTTGCTACATGAAAGCACTTTCTGTCATGATCAAAGGCCTGAAAGAGTGTGGGTCTAACAGAATACGAGATAAGGGCTCTGCAGCCCCTTGGATATTGTGGGCTTTTGTACCCAAGGCCGTTGATCCGCTGCGTCTACTTTTGGTTTTGTCATGGAATTGAGATAGTGGGTAGTTCTGCATGAAACAACAAGCACTGTGCACAAGTTGGTCTGTTGTGTTGTCTGAACCCTGTCATAGTACTTCAGTATAGTACATTTGCTTTTTTTTAAGTGATGAACAGAAACAACTGTCTATTCTATGGTTTCTTGGCCCCGTGATGGCTTGTTGTGTCATTTAAAGGCAGTGAAAAACAACTCAGAGAGGTACCAAGGTCAGCAAAGGCCAACACAAGGGGCAAGAAACAGCTGGGTGGCAGCTGAGTCCCTCAGCACCACCCATTCTCACTCCCACTTGTTAGAGAGATGCCTCCAACCTGGTACCCATTTCAGTTGCCTTCAGTTGTTCCTGCAGTTGCCCTCTTTCTGGGGGCTCTGTGGTAGTTGCATACCAGGGCTGTGGAAACCATGATTCTGCGTGCAAACAGCATGACAGGCCAGGGTGGTTTGGAGAAATCGTAAACAACATTGTTTCTTTTCATAATTTCTAAACCTAGAAATACCATGAATAGGTTCAGATGACACAACAGACAAACAATGGTAGAAAACCACCATGGCTTGCCTTGTTGTCTAAACCCACTGTTTCCTGCTTTTCCACCACATCACCTCTCGGTGGCACTGTGGTATAGTGAAATAGTCCAAATACGCACTCTTTCTTTCACCATCAGAAACAATACTCTATTTTCCCAGTTCTAAAAAAACTTGTGGAAATTGCTCTTTACAAACAGAAGTAACACTGGAGTTATATCATCTAAATTTTAGTTTCTAAAGAACCTGTAAAGAAGTATGAATCAGGAATGACATGCACATAACAAATGCCTTCTGTAGAAAAGCTCTGTATTTCCTTTTCTTCTCTTGCAAGGCTCTGGAGCGCCTCAACCAAGTATTGGAGGCAGAAAAGCAGCAGTTTGAGGAGGTGGTGCAAGATCTGCGGGTGGAGCAAGAGCAAATTAAACGGTAGTATCTTCCAGCCGTAAAAGGAGCCAGGTGAACGAGTGGGTCCTTCCACTGGCAGACCAAGGTAGACCTCAGGATGCCCTTACTGGCAAGCCCTCACTTAATTTCCTTGGGCTGGCGCAGAGTGCTGCTAGGTCCGGAAAACGCAATAACCCACATTTCAGCAGCTACCTACTCATTAGCAACCTACGCTCAACCCGTGAGCGTGAGTTATCATGTTGTCTGAACACAGCCATTGTGAGCTTTGTATCCCGTTGATATCTTTGCCACTTGTGGTATGCTGTTTCTAGATGTTTCTATTCTTAACTTATTCTACAATAGATGTTATTAAAGCTTACTTTTATTCTTGTTGTAAGTCATCCTGAAAATGTGGCTATAAGGCAACATTGTTGTTGTTGTTGATGTTAGTCGAGAAGTCGTGTCCGACCCATTGCGACCCCATGGACAACATTCCTCCAGGCCTTCCTGTCCTCCACCATCTCCTGGAGTCCACCCAAGCTCACACCAACTGCTTCAGTGACTCCATCCAGCCACCTCATCCTCTGCCGTCCCCTTCTTCTTTTGCCATCTATTGTTCCCAGCATTAGGGTCTTCTCCAGGGAGTCCTTCCTTCTCATTAGGTGGCCAAAGTATTTGAGTTCCATCTTCAGTATCTGGCCTTCTAAGGCGCAGTCAGGGTTGATCTTCTCTAGGACTGACTGGTTTGATCGCCTTGCGGTCAAAGGGACTCACAGGAGTCTCCTCCAGCACCACAATTCAAAGGCCTCAGTCCTTTGGCGCTCAGCCTTCCTTATGGTCCAGCTTTCACAGCCATGCATTGCAACTGGGAAAACCATAGCCTTGACTATACGCACTTTTGTTGGCACGGTGATGTCTCTGCTTTTTAGCATGCTGTCTAGATTTGCCATGGCTTTCCTCCCCAGGAGCAAGCATCTTTTAATTTTTTGGCTGCAGTCCCCATCTGCAGTGATCTTGGAGCCCAGGAAAATAAAATCTGTCACTACCTCCATTTCTTCCCCATCTATTTGCCAGGAAGTGAGAGGACCGGATGCCATGATCTTCGTTTTCTTAATGTTGAGTTTCAAGCCAACTGCTGTGCTCTCCTCCTTCACCTGCATCAAGAGGCTCTTTAGTTTCTCTTCACTTTCTGCCATGAGAGTGGTATCATCTGCATATCTGAGGTTGTTGATATTTCTCCCAGCAATCTTAATTCCAACTGGTGATTCATCTAGCCCTGCCTTTCTCATGATGTGCTCTGCATATAAGTTAAATAGACAGGGCGACAGTATACAGCCTTGCCGAACTCCTTTCTCAATTTTGAACCAATCAGTGGTTCCATGTCCAGTTCTCACTGTTGCTTCTTGACCCGCATATAGGTTTCTCAAGAGACAAATAAGATGGTCTGGTACTCCCATCTCTTTAAGAACTTGCCACAATTTGTTGTTATCCACACAATCAAGGGCTTTAGCATAGTCAATGAAGCAGAAGTAGATGTTTTTCTGGAACTCCCTAGCTTTCTCCATGATCCAGCGTATGTTGGCAATTAGATCTCTAGTTCCTCTGCATCTTTGAAATCCTGCCTGTACTTCAGGTAGTTCTCAGTCCACATACTGCTGGAGCCTAGCTGGAAGGATTTTGAGCATCACTTTGCTAGCATGTGAAATGCGTGCAATGGTGTGGTAGTTTGAACATTCTTTGGCATTGCCCTTCTTTGGGATCGGAATGTAAACTGACCTTTTCCAATCCTGTGGCCACTGTTGAGTTTTCCAAATTTGCTGGTATATTGAGTGTAGCACTTTTACTGCATCATCCTTTAGGATTTTGAATCGCTCAGCTGGAATACTGTCACCTCCGCTAGCTTTGCTGTTGCTCAGACTTCCTAAGGCCCATTTGACTTCACATTCCAGGATGTCTGGCTCGAGGTCAGTGACCACCCCATCGTGGTTATCAGGGACGTTAAGCTCTTTCTTGTATAGTTCGTCTGTGTAATCTTGATACCTCTTAATCTCTTCTGCCTCTGTTAGGTTCCTGCCATTTTGGTCCTTTATCATGCCCGTCTTTGCATGAAACGTTCCCTTAATATCTCCAATTTTCTTGAAGAGATCTCTGGTCCTCCCTGTTCTATTGTTTTCTTCTATTTCTTTGCACTGTTCATTTAAGAAGGCATTCTCATCTCTTCTAGCTATTCTCTGGAATTCTGCATTCAATTGTTTGTATCTTTTTCTTTCTCCCTTGCCTTTCACTTCCCTTCTTTCCTCAGCTACTTGTAAAGCTTCCTCAGACAGCCATTTTGCTTTCTTGCATTTCTTTTTCTTTGGGATGGTTTTAGTTGCTGCCTCTTGTACAATGTTGCGAACCTCCATCCATAGTTCTTCAGGCACTCTGTCTATCAGACCTAATTCCTTAAATCTATTTGTGACCTCTACTGTATATTCATCAGGGATATGATTTAGGTCACTAATGCTTTTCCCTACTTTCTTCAACTTAAGCCTAAATTTTGCAACCAGAAGCTCATGATCTGAGCCACAGTCAGCTCCTGGTCTAGTTTTTACTGACTGTATAGAGCTTCTCCATCTTTGGCTGCAGAGCACATAGTCAATCTGATTTCTGTGTTGACTCTCTGGTGATGTCCATGTGTAGAGTCGTCTCTTGAGTTGTTGGTAAAGAGTGTTTGCTACCATCGTATGCTTTTGACAAAATTCTACCAGCCTGTGCCCTGCTTCATTTTGTACTCCAAGGCCAAACTTGCCTGTTATTCCGGTTATCTTTTGGCTTCCTACTTTAGCATTCCAATCCCCCATGACGATAAGGACATCATTTTTTGTTGTTAATTCTAGAAGGTGTTGTAGGCCTTCATAGAACCGGTCAACTTCAGCCTCTTCAGCACTAGTGGTTGGGACATAGACTTGGACTATTGTGATGTTGAATGGTTTTCCTTGGATTCGAACTGAGATCATTCTGTCATTTTGGAGACAGTATCCCAGTACTGCTTTTCCTACTCTTTTATTGACTATGAAGGCTACTCCATTTCTTCTGAGGGATTCTTGCCCGCAGTAGTATACCTGATGGTCATCTGAATTAAATTCACCCATTCCTGTCCATTTTAGGTCACTGATTCCTAAGATGTCGATGTTCAGTCTTGTCATCTCTTGTCTGACCACATCCAGCTTGCCTTGATTCATGGATTCCAGGTTCCTATGGAGTATAGATCTTCACAGCATCGGTCTCTACTTTCACCACCAGATACATCTGCAACTGAGTGTCCTTTTGGCTTTGATCCAGTCGCTTCATTCTTTCTGGCGCTACTAGTACTAGCCCTCTGCTCTTCCCCAGTAGCATATTGGACACCTTCCAACCTGAGGGACTCATCTTCCGGTGTCATATCTTTTTGCCTTTTGGTACTGTCCATGGGGTTTTCATGGCAAAGATACTGGAGTGGGTTGCCATTTCCTTCTCCAGTGGATCATGTTTTGTC